AGATGGATGCTCCAATCACATGTTTTCAAATCTAAAAGGCGTTGGGCCCCACTTTACTGGACAACTTTCAATCATAATAGGACAATAATCTGACGTTAATCTCAGTAATGATTCCTGCCTTAAATTGGGGAAAAAACCTTCCCACCCCATGGAGAACAAAAATCTATCCAATCTACAGCACACCCAAATTCTCTTGCAAATTAGACCATGTAAATCTAGTATTGCACAAAAGAGGATCCATCAACTCACAATCTTTGATAAACAAATCAAGGTCCCTCATGCCCCTAGTGGTTCGAATTCCATGGAGTTTTTCTGAGCTTTTCCTAACCACATTAAAATCTCCCCCTAAACACCAATTAGGGAAACACAGCCCAGATAACCTATATAGCTCATCCCACAAATCCTTTCTCCTAGACATTCTATTAGGACCATAAACCCCTGTCAACCACCACTCTATATTGTCAAGATTTCGAAACCTAATTGATAGTGAAAACTCCCCCACTATAGTTTTACATTGAGAAACAACTCTCTCATCCCACATCACCAAAATGCCCCCCGATCTACCCACTGAAGGCAAACAAACCCAACTCCTATCCCTAACACCCCAAAGACTCTTCATGAACCTCCTATCACACCTTTCTGCTTTAGATTCCTGAAAAACCACTATGTCCGGTTGATTACTCCTTAGAAAATCCTTAATAACACCCCTCTTTCTCCGAGAACCTAACCCCCTCACATTCCAGCTAATAATATTTGTTGGGAAACATGTACACCCGTAGTTACCTCCCGGCGCCTCTCATAATTAACCGAACTTGCTAAATTCCTGAGTTCCCTTACCCCTTTTTTGGTGCTCTCTCCTACCTTTCTACCAGCTTTCTCCCTTGTAAACCTAACATTCTTACTAAATGATCCAAAAGTCCCCTTGATTTTAACTAATGACAAGCCCATAACTTGAAGTAACTGCATAAAAGAAGGCACCACCTCCTCCTCAATTGGGCAAATCTCATACTTAATTCCTTCGACCAACTCTCCGTTTCTTCAACCCCGTTACTAAAAACCTGGCCCCCCTTGTCAACATGATTACCTGAGATCCCTCCCTGATTGTCATACATGTGACCTTGAATACAATTAGCTTGTAAAGACTCAGACACAACAGTAGACTCATTCACAATGGCCCTTAAGGTATCTATGTTAACCCCTTGTTCATGAATATCCCTTGATGAGATCTGAAGAGCAGGACAAATCAGCCCAAAAGAATGAATTGAAGAATCCCCAACCCTAGCCCTTTCCCCAGAAAAAGAAATAGAAGAAACCAGAATGGCTTGTACCCCCTTGAACGAAGATGAAAATGTTAAAACTTTGGTAAATGAAGGACTGGCCTAATTCAGAGAGTTAGAAACCTACTCGATATCCTCACCATCAGTAGTACAATCAGCATTGAAAGATTATTGAGAACCTAATCCTGATCAACTTGCTCATCCTCCATACTGTCCCCTTCAGTTTGAGAATCTGAACTCTCAAATGAACCATACTCTTCCAAAGCTTGCAATACCTCATGCGTGTCAAAACGACCCTCTTCCAAGTCCTGAACCATTTTTTCCGAAGCGAAATTAATCTCCAGCAAGTCCTCAGCCACGGCCTTTAATCTTTGGAGATCCCTACATGATCTATCCACAATATCGTTCAGCCCTAGTTGTGCTTCCTCTATGCTAAGGTTCATGAATGATCGACTGGTTTGGATGCTTCAAAAAAGGAGGGTCTACATCTATCCTCAGTTGCTGAAAGTCCTTGAGACCCATCGACACTGACTGACTCGGAAGCTTTAACCCGTGAGGCCAAAATAATTGGGCTATCCTTCCGACCTAAACCCATCTCCGAAACCTCCTTCGGGTTGGAACCAAAAGCCCTTAATCTGTCCACAATCCCTAGGCCTCTTTTTTTAAAACAAGGAAATGTATTGGGGCCCTCATTAATAACTGGGTCACATTCCTTAAAACTTTGAAAATCATTTGGGCCAACCTCATCTTGTACTCCAAAATTAAAATGTTTATTTGAAATAACCAAATCGTGGGCTGAGCCCACTGTTTGACCAGGCCCAAAGTTAATCAAACACTCTAACTGATTGCCCCTTTCGTCTCTTACGCTTCTTCCATTGCCGTCATCCATTTCGTGCAGTCCACCAGCCTGACTTCTCACCTCCATTCTGCCACGTCTCATGGCTGTCGCTTAAGACCCCTTACTTCTCCTTTCTCCGGTACTAGAATCGTCTGAAACTGGTTGAAAACTCCATTGCCGGTGAACCTCCCGTCTTCCACTGGGCTTTGTTAATGCCTTTAATCGTACAATGGCAGAAACTCCTTCCACTTAAACGTCAAAAGTCGTCGATAAGAACCCATTACCAATACCTTTGACTTTCAATCTTGCCTCAAAGAGATTTCTGAAAGACCTGGTTCTACTATCCACCTCTAACAGACCTCCACACTTCGTTCCAATCCATTCAAAAACCATGTTAGTCCAAAAACTAAAAGGTAAATCACAAATAGAGACCCATCTCCCATTTGAAGCAATGACATTGGCCCTACTGTGCTTTTCATCTAACCAGCTCTCCAAACTCACCGCAATGCTCCTATAAAAGAAACAGTCCCTAGCCACCATAGTAAGCCTCCTCCTCAATGCTTTTTGCAACAAACAGAGCTCTGTTTAATTGAAAAGGCCTAAGAGAAATATTAGATTTAAAAGATCAACATAGCTCCTCCTCAATCTGTGCCCATGCATCCAAGAAATCAGTTCTAGTGCAGACCACCACCTTACACATCTCCATAATAGAGCTACTGCCTCCCAAGGGATCTATTTTAGAGCTGAGCACAGATGCATACGAAACTCCTCTATTTGTCCCTGTTTTCTGCTGAACAGAGTTGTTCACTCTTGGGATGCCTGTGCGAGTCTTTGATAAATCAAGGTCACTTGGATACTTCATTTCCCCATCGTCCTTAACCCTAGAATCTCCATGAATAATTCTTTCAAACATGTTGGCCACTGCCATCCACCTTGACCATCAACCCTTGTTGGAAGAATAATGTTACTTCTTCGTAACTCGGTCACCCATTTAGACAACTCCACAAAGACACCACCCTTGTTGCTGTATTTCTGAAGACAGAATACTACTGAACTGCTGCTATACTTGCTGGAAAATGGTCGATCCTTGCGCCATCTCCAAACCTGTCGCAAACCCTGCATTGCCCAAAAACTCCCCCCAAATCGATCTTAATAGAATAACTTCTAAGTCGATTCCTTTCAATGATCTCCACTAAACTACCTCTGGATTCTCTATCAATCTGAATGATGATAAGCTTTTGTTCAATACGTAACTCTAAAACTCCCCCACGAAACTTCTGCATTTTTTGTTTTTTTTGTTTTTTTTTTGTTTTTTGTTTTTAGTTAACTTTGAATAAAAACCTTCACTCTTCGATTTCAATCCACATAGCTGTTGATTATCTCCTTGATGAATCTACCAATCTGGTTCTCACTACTCATTCCTTGCAACGGCATCTTCATCATATTCACAGCGAGTAATATGCAAGCTAGTAGGGCAAAGGTTCCTCTGTCATGGCTTTTATCATGCCGCTAAGAGGTCCATTCTTCACATTATGGCACAACTTAGAACACTTTTAGGACTATGATTGGATTAAGGATTTGAGAAGTGATATCCTTCCTATTTTCTTTCCTTTTGCATGTCATTCCTCAAATCTTTGATCCAAACAGAGACAATTTTCCAATCAGCAAGATAGCATTTAACCTAGATTCATGGGAGTGTCTTCAATTTTCCAAACAGAGACAATTTTCCAATCAGCAATGACCTTCCAAATCTGGAGTGTCTTCAATTGTGTACAAATAAATATAGATTCATGGGAGTAAGCTCTAACAACAGTCCATTCACTAGAATTTATAAAATTTCAATAGAATTTATAAAATTTCAAGTAACAACAATACTGTTCTACAAAATTAGTCCACAACCAGCTTTCATAGTGAGGAAACCAAAACAGTTGAGCCTATTTACCATTTACCCAATCATAATTTGTTCAATGCTCTAAAAAGTTGAACACTACTTTGCCAAAAGCCAAAATTAGGCCATTCAACCAAAACTAAGAGCAAACAAAGCTATTACCTAGGTCCGAGGCATCCAATTAAAACCATAGCTTGGACAATCCCAAGTACCAAAAGGATCGGCAAAGTAATTGAGATAGCATTGCATTCTGTTTGGACAGCACCCACCCATTGCTTTTGATGCCAGTTTGAATCTAGCCAAAAGACCGGGTTATACTTTTGATGCCCCATTTGAATCTAACTATAATCAATCTGCAACAACCTGGTCCACTGATTTTCAACCTGCTCTTCTAACTCCATTTCTACCACGCACATGTGGTGCATGCCTATAGGTACATTCCATATAATCTTTGTTGCAATAAAGTCTCTTATTACCAGTTGATAGAGCGTCCGATGAATGGTAACATTAGATATTGATTTAAGGAAACAAAAACATTGAAAATTAAGCAATAATAATCATTCCAGATGCGTTTAGCTGGCAGTAAAATACTTGTGCAACATAAAGCTCTAAAAATGAAAAGTTATATACTCTTACACCATTTTTCAGGTTCACAAAAACAAGGGTTGTAGACGAAGACATCACTCAAGTAACGGTTACAACGCATGCATTAACTTCCAAGAGGAGGCAATAAGACCCAAGGATTCAATTACCTCCTTATAGAGGGTACAGCACCCCTACCAGGTGGAGCTCCACGACCAGCAGCCTGAGCCTGCACAGTAAACAAGTTCAATAGTCAGGCCACTTGTTAATAGAGAGGTCACAACCTGTTAAGCATGCTATAGATCAAACATCTTGTGATCCAATAGAGTCTCAAACAAAGTTTTTATTTTTTATAACATGAAAACCAAGGGTGTGTTTGGTTTGTGTTTTGAAATAAATTTTCAAAAAAAATTTTAGAGAGCTTAGAATTTTTTTTTTTTTTTTTTTGTTTTTGGTTGTATATTTTGAAAATAGTTTTAGAGTTTGAGAGTTTGGGATGATTTGATATTTTGTTGTAATTGAGTAGATGTGTGTGAGAGAAGAAGTGATTGAGAAGAAAAGAGGAGAGAGAAAAAATGATTGATTGATGTGTAATAGAAAAAAGTTATTTTAGAATTTTTTTGAAAAAATTTGTAACCAAATATGTTTTTGAAAATTTTCTTCCAGAAACATGTTACAAAACACAAACCAAACACACCCCAAATGTTCTAAAACTTGATTTTGTACAAAATAATTACAGATGCCAAATCATTACACTTTCGTCAAAGACCCATTTTATGATGTTAATGGAAACAATATATATATAGATAAACTTACTCTAGCCCGCATTGCAACAGCACGACCCCGGCCAACTCCAATTGCTGAGCCCTTACCCTTCATTAAGTTAAGTGAAAGAAATTAGAAAACTAAAGAAGGTAACCGACATAGGAAAGATAAAGACACATATATGAATAAGTACCTTGATTCTAGACTCCAAACGCTTAAAAATTGGAGCATTCTTAAGCATGTCTGGAATCACCATAAACCTGGTTGGAAATCACATTTGTTCCAAACAAATGTGGTTATAGGCAAACAAACTATTACAAATAAATGTGGTTACTAGCAAACAAACTATCTCAATTAAGATGCAAGACAATACCTAACTTTGCTGCCTCGAATAAAGACATGCTCCAGTTGTGAAACCTTCCCATCCTGTGAAGTATGAAGGAATCAACCAGTATTAGCAACTGATGTGAGCAACTGATGTGAAAGTGTATAAGGAAAGGGAAGAGTCAACAGACATGGATACCAAAAAAGGGTGCACATATGTAATCAATTATCAGAAAGACCAAAAACCAAATTAAAAATGGAATACAATCATATATGATTCAAATCACCATGTACAGCTATCTCAAATTCAATATTAATGACCCTGCAGAGGATCTGGGGGGAAAGGTATATGCAAGTGTATGTTTGCTCGTTACAGTTCAAATCCGAACATATTCCCTGAAAAATTGTCTATTATTTATTTTACTTGTTCTATTTTATTTTAGTTTTAATATGTCGCTCGCTCTCCATATTTCTTGGCACCTGCTTTTGCTAACCAAGAAAACTGTAGTGAGCACTTACAGCTTCAGCACTACAGCTCAACAATGAAACTATCGTCAAAGTCACAACTAGGAGTGAACAATATCCACAAATTATAATGCAGTATCTAGCCACTATATACATGACAAATAAGTATCAGCCAGACACTAACAAATAAATTCTGTCTCTCATAGTTTTCTGATGCACATGATCATTATTGACGCCATGTTGCTTCCCTTCTGTACAATGCAAGACTCGATCCCTATGGAATCATGTAACATATGCCATGGAGTGATTGCCTGAGAACATAAAGTGCTTCTTGTTTGATCAGGTGTCTACCTATGGATTACCCACTTCAAGCACCCAAACTCTTGGGGTCTGAATGCCTCTATATCTGCTAGTGTCCCATTTCTACACTTTATTATAAATGGCCTTTTTCATGTCACAAAAAATAGTAAAGGTTTTGTATAACCAATCAAATGAAATGGTAAGGTGAACAAAAACTAACCAATCCTTAGGCATATTCTTATTTTTTGTAATGGAGACCAGACAAGAAAGATACTCCGGCCTCCTTTTCTATCTTGTTCTCACTCATCCATCACAATTCAAAACTATTGAGAAATAAAATTTTCTCACAATATAACTACTACCAATAAGGATGAAATAGCCATTGCACCACAATAATGAGAGACGGGCAAGAAATATAAGAAACAAACCACCAGAAATATGACATAGGGAAAATTTTACTTTACTCTACTAGAAAACTTTACCCCCTGTAGTTTAGATATAGGCTGAGGCCTCCCTTGTGATTTTGGGTTAAAGTGCAACCATTACATTTTCTGTCCATATTCACAGAACTCATGGCTACATGCATGAGTTTGGAAGCCAAGTCAAAAGTCAAATTTCTATGCAAAAAGACACCATCGCCCTTGGCTTCATCTTCTTCCTCCCACCCATTTGATGACCCAAGTCCAGGAAGTTCAATTGATAGTTGAGGCAAGAATGAAAGTTTTCAATATCCTTTTTCTGTGAATCAGTGATATATTTATATGAAGTTGTGAAACAATTATATATGGGAACTCTAAAAAAAGCAAAGTTTGATTGGAAAATGCCAAAATCTGAATCATTATTTGCTTTTCTACATAGTCGATAAAAGATTGCCAACATTTGTGATGTTGGTGGCACTTTCATGAGCAAAGCCAAGGACTTGCGGATGATGTAGTTCACCAAGGTTTAACCTTTTGTGTTACATTTCTATATGATACAAATCTAATATAGGGTTCAGAAATTGGGATTCATAGGGCTTTATGTTAAAGAAACCGAAATGGGATCTTCTAGGCAACTTCTTCACTGACTTGCCGTAGCTTATTATGCATCAACAACTGTTAGTTCAACACCAAAACATTTAAAATTCAAAGTTTAGTGTTTTGGGTTTCAAATATATAATTTTTGTTGCTTTGTGTTTGAATATGCGCAATTGATGTAGTAACAATGGAAAGACCAACAGTTTAACAACTTTTTTTTTTTTTTTTTTTTTTTAGTGGTGATGAAGAATGGAGTAACAGCTCAGCGAGGAAGGCATGCACTATGAAGAAAACAGGTTCAGCACCAGACAATCAGTATTAAATCTGCTTCATTTAGCAAAGAATAATTAGTGGAAAAAACAAAGAAGGTATAAATGTATTTTTATCATTTAACTCTAATGATGTTGATGTTGTAATTTAATCCAAAACAATGTAGGGGCTCTCTGCCTATATCCAAACTGTAAGAGGGTAAGGCAAAATGCTTCAGAAATTAGAGCATCTCCAGTGGGGAATTTTAGCCTACTTGCGAGTAGCAAATTCCAAAGCATTTTCAAACCGAACGGATATGCAATGTTTATTTCCAAATTAGGCAATCTAGTCTATATTTGTTTGTTGTGCGCATAACATAGTAATTCTAGGCTAATAATTGGAATAAGAACACATAATGTTTTCAAAATCGGATATCATGGTTAGTAGAGGCCGGTCTTCGGACCGGGCGAAAGGGGGTGCTCATAGCTGACCTTCCCCGATCGTACCCAAGCTCCCGAGCCGAGACAACTCCGGTGATGACGGACATGTGGCCTTCGGCACCGAGTCAGGGTTTCCTAAATTTCCCCATTTTAAAAAATATTTAGGTGGCGACTCTGTATCTGGCAAAGCAGTCCATGTTTGGCACTACTTTTTCGAAAATCTGTTTCTCAAAACGATTTGCCAGATTTGGACTCTTTGGTTCAGATTAAGAACCGCGACTACAAATCGCGAGTTCGAACTGTAGCGTGAGCCCCCCGCGGGCGCGGCTACAATACAGCAAGAGTGAGAGTGAGAGTGAGATAGAATTCAAGCGAGAGCAAGAGTGAGGGTGAGAGTGAATTCGAGCGAGTAAGAGTGAGAGGGAGGGAGTGAGACTGAGAGTGAGAGAGAATTCGAGCGAGAGTGAATTTGAGCGAGTAAGAGTGAGAGGGGATATGTAACGGCGCCAGATATGCACCAATAACATCACTATTTATCGGAAGCACTTGATTTTAAATATGGGTCTGAAGATGCTGGCCTTAAACATTACTATGCTGAAAATTTTTTACACTTTCATATGATTGATAGTAAATTAGTTATGGAACAAATGCATGAATTTCAAAATATTTGTATGATCTGAAAAGAAAAGGAATGGATTTATCTGATATTTTTAGTTGCTTCACTGATTAAAAATTACTTCCATCTTGATAAGAATTTTGTAGAATGTAGAAATAAAAACATGATGATTATACTTTTGATGAATTGCCAGTATCCCTAAATATTGAGGAAAAGCATCATGAAAAAACAAGCTGAGTTTTTAAAGTCTGATTTTTGAGCCAAGGCACATTTTGTAGAAAATCTTAAACCCAAACCTTTTAATTTCAAGAAAAATGGTGCACACAAGAATGGGAATAACAATCTAAATAATAAATCAAAAGGCAAAAATATTATTCATAAAAAAATAGTGCCTTGTTGGGTGTGTGGGAAGACTAATCACACTGCTAGAGATTGTTATTTTTAGAAAAGTCAACCCCATAAAGCTCGTGGTCCTCCAGTAACCCCTAAACCACAATCTAATGTTGTAACTGTAGAGGCTAGCTCCTCTAACCCTGTTAGCAGGTATTTTGTTAGTGATCCCAAGTTAAATATTGCTTTTAACTCAAATGATTAGTTTATAGACGCGGGTGCTAATGTTCATATGTGCGCTGATAAAAAAAAAAAATTCACCTTATTATCAGGAATCAGGCACAAGAACTGTAAGTATGGGAAATGAGAGCTTGGCCAAGGTACGAGGTGAAGGACAAGTTAGGTTGAAATTGACATCAAGCAATATAAAGTTTTGCATGTTCCCGATATTAGGAAAAATTTAGTTAGTACATCTTTGTTAGTTCAACATGGTTTTAAAGTTTTTTCGAATCAAATAAAGTTGTAATAGCTAAGAATGGTAACTTCATTAGTAAATGTTATAGTTTTAATGTTATGGATTCTGATTTAAATAAAATTGCATGTTATTCTTTTTTCTACTTCTTCTATAACTAATGTAGAATGTTCCAATACTTGGCATAGTAGACTAGGGCATGTAAGTTTCAACACTATTAAAAGAATGATGAGTTTAGAATTAATTCCAGGATATATAATTAATTTAAAGGAAAGATGTCAAGTATGTGTACAACCTAAACAAACTAAAAACGAACAAAAAAATAAAATTAAATCTATTAAAAAAGACACATCTTTATTACAATTTATACATAGTGATACATGTTACCTTCGTAATGCGTTAACTCGTGGTAGGAAAAGATATTTATTACGTTTATTGATGATTTTTCTAAATATTGCTATGTATATTTAATAAGTCACAAAAGTGAACTATTTGATAAATGTAAAATATATAAGGCCCTTGTAGAAAATCAATTAGAAAAGAAAATTAAAATCTTAAGGTATGATAGAGAAAGAAAGTATGCACCAATAGAAATGGAAGAGTTTTGTAAACAACATGCGATTATTCACCAATAGTCTCCACCTTATTCACCACAATCTAATGGAGTAGCAGAATGTAAAAATCGAACATTACTAGATATGATATATGTTATGTTAGCTAGTTCCAATTTACCTAATAATTTATGGGGTGAAGCTTTATATTCTACATGTCATATATTAAATAAAGTGCCTTACAAAAATTCAGAAAAAAAAATCTTATGAAATTTGGAAAAATCAAAAGCCTAGTCTAAAATATTTCGAAGTGTGTGGGCGCTTGGCTAAAGTTTTAATACAAATTACTAAAAAAAGAAAATTAGGAGCGAAAACTATTAATTGTGTATTTATTGGGTATGCTTTAGATAGTGTTGGTTATAGATTCTTAGTAATTAATTCTGAAATTTCTAATAATACTATAATGAAGTCAAGAGAAGCTATATTTTTTGAAAATGTATTTCTTATGAAAGATAAGGTATCTAAATCAATTGGAGAAAATTCTATATCTAATAATAGTGTAGAAAATCAAGTAGGAACTAAACTACGAAGAAGTAAAAGAGGAAGAATAGAAAAGAATATTGATAATGGCTT